ATAACATGGTTTAAGATGGTTTATAACATGGTTTAAGATGGTTTATAGCATTGTTTATAACATGGTTTAAGATGGTTTATAACATGGTTTATAACATGGTTTAAGATGGTTTATAACAGCCCGTAATGCGTTATATAAATTGTGTCCCCACAGCGGCTGGTCTGACGGAGAGGTGGCAGTCATGTATGGCTCAGGGAAGTACAGCTCCCGGGGCCCTGCTCTAATCCCTCGTATGAAAACCAAGCACCGCTTGTACTACATCACCCTCTTCTCCGTTGTGCTCCTTGGACTGATTGCCACCGGGATGTTTCAGTTTTGGCCTCACTCCATTGAGTCCACGACTGAATGGACTCTTGAAAAGGGCAGTGTCCATGATGCACCTCTGATCCGGCTGCCTGGATCCAGTCCCATACCTGAGAGGGGTGACCTAAGTTGTCGGATGCACACCTGTTTTGATGTATATAGATGTGGCTACAACCCCAAGAACAAAATCAAGGTAACTGGTGCTCATAGTAACTCTCACTATGTTGAGCTTTGGAGGTTTTGACTCTCAGCTTTGATTTAATATTGAATCGACTGCTTCTGTAGGTCTACATCTACCCTCTTCAGAGGTTTGTGGATGAACTGGGGGTTCCCATCAGCAGCACTGGATTGTCACGAGAATACAACGACCTGCTCAGTTCAATCTCTGACAGTGACTTTTACACGGATGACGTCACCAGGGCTTGTCTTTTTATCCCATCTATTGACGTGCTCAATCAAAACTCGCTTCGAATCAGGGAGACTGCTCAAGCTCTGACAATGCTACCCAGGTACAATATTACTGGAGCCACGTGTTTAAATTAATTTTAAACATTACTTTTTACCTCTGGTTTCTGTGATGTTTTTTCCTCAAGCAATCTGTTAATTGTTTTACCCAAGCACTTTTTTTTTTTTGTAGATGGGACAAGGGGATGAATCATTTACTTTTCAACATGCTACCTGGAGGGCCCCCTGACTACAACACTGCTTTGGATGTGCCAAGAGATCGGTAGCTACAAATGTTCCTATAAAGATGTCATAATTCAAATTTCCTGAAGGCAGCCTAACATGCATGCTTTTTGTCTTTTTTGGTCTCTGTTCATCTGTGGGAGGCATTTTTTGTCTTAATCCAAACAAAAACCTTCACTAAAGGGTACAAAACATAAATATGGACAATGGACTGTACTTATACAACTCCTTCCTGTCTGATCAAGATACTCAAAGCTCTTTACAACAATCTGTGCCTCATTTATCCATTCATACAGCTCTATACTAGATCTATACAAAGAATAATCGGAGCTTTATCACATTCATGCACCGATGGGACACACATCAGCGTTCAGTGTCTTGCCCAGGGACACTTCAGTATGTGACTGCTGGTGGAATCTAACCCCCAGCTCTTGCATTGGAGGACGCCTGCTCTAACCACTCAGCCACAGCCGCCCATAATAATACATGTAATACATAATACGTGGCCTGTAGTTCCTATAGTTTATCTTCGGATGATCAGCTGCTGAGTCCCTGTTTCTAGCTCTTTTGGAGGTCAGTTACAGTAAAATTAAAAAAGCAACAATACATGGGTCACACCGTGTGTACCTTCGTTGAATGAACTTGAACAGAACATATAAAGTTACATTTTACTAATTTATTGAGCAATTGTTTCCTTTAAACAGTGACATTAATGTCATGTTTTAAATTGCTTAAACAAAAAAGAGGAAAATAATGTACCAAGCAGAGAACTCAACAAATAAAAATGCTTAAAGGCGTTATTATACATTAGACGACGTCCTCAAGAAGTTCAGTCTATGTGGTCGAGGTAACGAGCTCGTTTGGGTGAAGCATGATGTCGTGCATCTTCCCAGACTTCAGAGCTTCATTTACAGACTGGACCATTGCAGGTCTGGTGTTCCACCTCGTCTCTCCACAGCTTCAGTGACCGGTCCAGCACCTTCAGTAACCTAAAACTGAAAGTAGACCGTGCACAAGTCAAAATAGGGTTACAGGGACTACACATTGCAATTTGTTGACTTTCTTTGGAAAAATATATTTTATTAGAAAGAAGAGACTGAAATTGAAAATCAAGAAAATGTGACCTTTGCAATTATAAATTACAGTAACTCAATTTTTCTTTATTTATTTCACTTATCATATTTTCTAATCATTTTAGCATTTTATGTATCTTCCCCTGCTCTTTTGAAGTGTTAGTAAGTCAGCTGTCACCTGTAGAACTCGCTCACAGGTGAAAAGGCGAAGCTGCGATGGCGTCGGAGGGAAAGGAGGTTTGGACGGATCACGTGAATGTGAGCGAAAGTTCGACAGACTCTCTTCAGAATGTGGAGCTGGTTCTGAGAGCTCAACTCAGAGTCTGAGTTCTTGGTCAAAAATGCCGGCGTGGGTCATTCACATCGGTGTTCTGCAGGCAGAGCAGACGTGGAGGTCCACATATCAGATGGGCGGACTCATTTTAGACATCTAAAGGATGAAAAATATCAACTTCTTGAGTTAAATAAAAATCAGCTTTAGTGTTTCTCTCTCACAGATGAAGCAGAAGCTATTTTAAAGGAAGGGAGCTAAAACTTGGTGGCAGTTTGCTGATCCTGTTTGCTGCGTTACTGTAGACGCAGTCGGATCTCGACACGCATTGATCTGTCTCAGGAGCCTAACTTGTTTTAAGGTTACAGGTGTTTTAAGTTTTAAAAAACAACCTTCTTGCATATGTGAAATAAATTTTTCTGGATGTGTTTTCTGGCTGTAAAAGATTTTAGTGTTTTCTTTTCATACAAAAAAGAAACCGTTAGACAACAATCTTTTACCATAGCAACAGCATGAACGTGTTTAAATATAAAAAGTAGTTTTAAGAGCTGTTTACCATTAGGAAATGGCAGGAAATCACAGTTTTCAGACCAAACAAAGATGTGATTGTGTTTACCAGCTCATTCCCCGTCAGAAAGGTGAATGTTTTGGTTGCAGAGGTCGTTTTTCTGAACAAAGACACCAGACGGTGAACACTTCCTTTAGCTTTAAGGTTGTTTTTCCTCCTGGACTCCATTTAGCATGAAGCCTCATGGGAACCAGGTGTTCGTGCTGATGTTTCACTTCATAGTCTCCCTTCCTAAAGATACAGCACAAGAAACAAGTGTCTTGTTACTGATAGCAGCAACAGCAGAATATATTGTTGTTAAACAGAGGTTGATATTCTGTCATGTTTTGTGATTCTTACTTGGGCAAAAATTTTATATTAAAACTTCCAAAGTTTTTTTTTCTATAGCTTGTGCTTTTCAAGAACTTTATTGTGTGACAACTTTCTTACAGTCCTGGTTATTTGTTTCAGAGCACTTTTGGCTGGGGGTGGTTTCTCCACATGGACTTACCGACAGGGATATGATGTCAGCATCCCAGTTTACAGTCCCCTTTCTGCAGATGTTGTGTTGCCAGAAAGACAACCTGGGTAATGTCTTACTGCAACTATCACCATTTTCAGGATTCCATCCTAATCAAATCATTTCTCTACATTCTGTGTTTATGATTGAATATTTTCTTTCCATTCACTCAGGCCGCAGCGCTATTTTATTTTGTCATCTCAAACTGCCATTCACCGAGAGTATCGTGCCGAGCTGGAGCGTTTGAAGGAAGAAAATGGAGAATCCCTGCTCCTGCTGAACAAGTGCAGCAATCTCTCCCAGGGTGCTGCCTCGGCTAGGAAGCGATGCTACAAAGGACAGGTGTATGACTACCCACAAATTCTGCAGGTGGGAACTACAAATGCATTAAAATAAAGAAGTATTATTATTATTGTATTACTAGGGTTTCACTTCTCTAAATGTTTTCGTACCTGATCACGTCAGTACGTATAATTTGTTAACAACCATGCACATGATTAAAAACATGTATATTTCAGGACTGAAATATATTTCAGCTTCTGGAAACAATAAAGCTGGAAATATTTACCGTAATTTCTGGACTATTGAGCGCACCTGAATAGAAGCCATGCCTATTAAATACATTTTTAAAATTCAATTTTGTACATATATAGGCTGCGCTTGTCTATAAGTCGCAGGTGTCCACGTTGTAACTAAGGATGGGGCCGATCCGGTATCAGCCTCCGATACCAGCATAATTTACATATCCGATATTTCCGATCCATGATGCACGTTGGCTTCAAACTACGGACTGGATTTCCTGAACGGCGGCGTGTCTCATGGACCCAGAATAATAAGACCCGCCTCATATTCAGGAAATCCATTTCATAGTTTGCAGCAGCTGCAACGTGAGGACTGAGTTAGCAGCACTGTGGCTAACAGCTAACAAACTTTTCATCTAAACATGTCGCTGTGTGGAAGTATTTTACACTAGAAACACCACAAGACAAGACAGCATCTTGCACTGTCTGCAGAGCCATAGCGCCACATTAAACCGTGGTAAAGTTAGTTTTACGATGGACGTTCGAGCTCCGGGGCTTCAGCGGGGCGCTGCTCTTTGCTCAACTTGACCCGGCCAGACACGCTCAGTCTGTCCGTCTCTGAGGAGGGATAGACTGAGCGCGGCTGACCGAAATCAGACCGCCCGCCCCGGACTGAACAAGAAGAAGACGTCGCTGAAACCCCGGAGCTCGAATGTTTACAGAGAAGTTACTAAACTTCATCATAATTAATGACCAACAGCTATCAGTTGTAGAAAACAAAGGATTTCACAGCTTGATACTTGCAGTCAAGATATAGTTTACCCTCCAGGAGATATTTATCAGTACAACAGTAGACAATCATAAAAAACATGATTCGAAAATTACAAGAAAATTATATATATAAAAATAAAAAAACTAAACAAAAACAGCTACATTATAAAGTGATGTAAATACTAAAAACAGGAACATGTCTGTTGGTTTAAGCCATGAACTTAGCAGATGTTTGAAGCCATTTAACATTTTATTTAATTTAGTTCATTTATTCATTCATTTAAATGAAACAAAATAAATTCATCAAAAATAAAACATTGGATGAAAAGAGTGCAGAAAGAAAAAAATTCTTATATCTGCCCCTTATTTAAAAAAATATAAACTAACTTTAAACAATCACTTAAATTAATCACTTTAATATCCACTTTAAAACTAGGAATAAAAAAACAACATGTTTTGTGTTAGCAGAATTTAATTCTAACTTTAAAACTTATCCCACATTAATAAAACTTACCTCAAGTTGCCTTTTTGGACATGCATGCATATATTTGTACAAATTGTACTTGAGAGGAGATTATTACAGCCTCATGTAAAATCAATGATCATGATATTGGAACTGGATCAGTATCAGCTGATATCCAGATTTAGGTATCGGGATCGGATCAGAAGTAAAAAAATGTGGATCGGTGCATCCTTAGTTGTAACAGGAGATATTTACGCAATTTAAAAAAAAAAAAACAACTTTTAATTAAATATGTACTGTAACATACGCAAATAGGTCCAGTAAAAGTTTTTTCTGAACAGCGCCTGTAACGAGGCTGCTTAAAAATAAATGAACACAGTAGCCTACCAGGAAACGCCTCGCTTACGTGCAGCTCCGTTTCCTTCTTCGACAGCCACATCGATCGCCTTTAACTTGAAAGCTGCTTCATCTCATGTCTTGTGTGTTTTCCTTGAGGAGGGCGTGTTCATGAAGTGCAAAGTTACTGACATGAAGAATTTAGGGAGAGTGCGTTTTATTTACGGTAATTCAAAGTTTCGTTGGTCCACTGGGACCTGTTCGGTAATTTAATTGGTCAAATTTTATTTTTGTCCTTTATTTATACAGGTAGTCTCATTAAATCATGAGGAGCCACCCCTCGAGAGAGACGTGTATTGGGCATTTGATCTCCCCATGTGATGAAGCCAAATGTTTTGGTTGCAGGAAGCTTGTTAGCCCTTCAAAAAGTTAATCCATAAATTAGCTGCAGCATTATATAAACCTTGGGGTTCAGGTGTGTGAAAAAGTAGCAGCTTATAGTGCGGTAATTACAGTATTTATTTTTAGTCAAATTGCAGGTTTAACATTTTAAAGTGAAAACATGTCTGTAGCGCTAGTTGTAACACTCGGTCAAAATGAAAGAAATGGTTTTGTCCCAACACGTCTCCACAGGAGTCGTCTTTCTGTGTTGTTTTGCGAGGGGCTCGTTTGGGTCAGGCTGCCCTCAGTGATGTTCTGCAGGCTGGGTGTGTCCCTGTCATCCTGGCCGACTCCTACATTCTGCCCTTCTCTGAAGTACTGGACTGGAAAAGGTGCGTCTGAATCTTGGAGCAACGATAAAACATGTTTGAATGTTTGTTTCCTTGACGGTTTTTTTCCTACACAGGGCGTCTGTGGTCATTCCAGAGGAGAAGTTATCTGAGATGTACACCATCCTGAAGAGCATTCCTCAAAGACAAGTTGAAGAAATGCAAAGACAGGTAACAAACAGAGATGATCTCAGCCAACTCAGGAGATATTTAATTTAGAAATGTAACTGGATTCATCCTCTAAGGTACGGTCACGAGAAGTGGAGGTGCTGCCAGTCAGGCCACGCCACGTGCTCGTTTTTAACCGTCAAACCACCCGACCAGTTGTACTTCTAGAGGCCAAAACTTAATTTTATGTGAAATGCAAAAGATAAGAATTTAGATTTGTACCTCACTTTTTGTAACAGAATTTCCTCATGTTCAGTCTAGATTTTAAAAGGCTCATAGATGATTCCATGTTTATTTGAGCTTGGATGAAATGCACAGAATGCAGCTCACTCTTCATTTGATATCTGCGTTTAGCCACAGGAAACACAAGTGACGCGGTCCTGAGAGAAGTGCACGAGTTCAGCTGCTTCTCATTCTCCTGCATCAACTCTTGTCCATTTACCAGTTGTACGCACCAAACAGACGTTTAGGCCCAACATTCAGAGATTGTCTTCAGTTGCATCAGTGAGGCTCAACCTGACAGCTTGATCTAACATTTGCTGAGATTTTTAATTTATTTATTTGTTTTTGCAGGGGTCAGTGTACACCTACTGAATAGATTTCATATTATTGATCGACTCCTTTGCTGCTCTGTTGCTGTGCAGATTAAGTTGCTGCAAACTAATTTTTATCTCAAACATCACAGACACTAAAAGGAACGATGCTTTATTCTTTTCATCACTTTATTTAAAAAATACGTTTAAAATATATTTTCATTTTAGTTACGGTGACGTTCTATATTTAAAGATGAAAAGATGATTAAGCAGTTTCTTTGTATTATACAGTGTCTTGTGAAAGTATTCGTCCCCCTTGAACTTTTTCAACCTTTTGCCACATTTCAGGTTTCAAACATAAAGATATAAAATTTTAATTGTTTGTGAAGAATCAACAACAAGTGGGACAATCGTGAAGTGGAATGAAATTTATTGGATGTGTCAAACTTTTTTAACTAATAAAAAACTGAAAAGTGGGGCGTGCAATATTATTAGACCCCTTTACTTTCAGTGCAGCAAACTCAGTCCAGAAGTTCAGTGAGGATCTATGAATGATCCAACGTTGTCCCAAATGACTGATGATGATAAATAGAATCCACCTGTGTGTAATCAAGTCTCCGTATAAATGCACCTGCTCTGTGAGAGTCTCAGGGTTCTGTTCAAAGAGCAGAGAGCATCATGAAGACCAAGGAACACACCAGGCAGGTCCGAGATACTGTTGTGGAGAAGTTTAAAGCCGGATTTGGATACAAAAAGATTTCCCAAGCTTTAAACATCCCAAGGAGCACTGTGCAAGCAATCATATTGAAATGGAAGGAGTATGGGACCACTGCAAATCTACCAAGACCCGGCCGTCCCTCTAAACTTTCACCTGGAACAAGGAGAAGACTGATCAGAGATGCAGCCAAGAGGCCCATGATCACTCTGGATGAACTGCAGAGATCTACAGCTGAGGTGGGAGAGTCTGTCCATAGGACAACAATCAGTCATACACTGCACAAATCTGGCTTTTATGGAAGAGTGGCAAGAAGAAAGACATTTATCAAAGATATCCATAAAAAGTGTTGTTTAAAGTTTGTCACCTGGGAGACACCAAACATGTGGAAGAAGGTGCTCTGGTCACATGAAACCAAAATCCAACTGTTTGGACACAATGCAAAATTATATGTTTGGTGTAAAAGCAACACAGCTCATCACCCTGAACACACCATCCCCACTGTCAAACATGGTGGTGGCAGCATCATGGTTTGGGCCTGCGTTTCGTCAGCAGGGACAGGGAAGGTGGTCAGAATTGATGGGAAGATGGATGGGGCCAAATACAGGACCATTCTGGAAGAAAACCTGTTTGAGTCTGCAAGAGACCTGAGACTGGGACGGAGATTTATCTTCCAACAAGACAATGATCCAAAACATAAAGACACATCTACAATGGAATGGTTCACAAATAAACGTATCCAGGTGTTGGAATGGCCAAGTCAAAGTCCAGACCTGAATCCAATCGAGCATCTGTGGAAAGAGCTGAAGACTGCTGTTCACAAACGCGCTCCATCCAACCTCACTGAGCTCCAGCTGTTCTGCAGGAAGAATGGGCAGAACTTCAGTGTCTCCATGTTCAAAACTGATGGAGACAAACCCCAAGAGACTTGCAGCTGGAACTGCAGCTGGAACTGCAGCAAGAGGCGGAGCTACAAAGTATTAACGCAAGGGGGCCCAATAATACTGCACGCCCCACTTTTCAGTTTTTTATTTGTTAAAAAAGTTTGACACATCCAATAAATTTCATTCCACTTCACGATTGTGTCCCACTTGTTGTTGATTCTTCACAAAACATTAAAATTTTATATCTTTATGTTTGAAGCCTGAAATGTAGCAAAAGGTTGAAAAGTTCAAGGGGCCCAATACTTTCACAAGGACCTGTATATTCTAATTTATAGACAACTTGTTTACCGTGATATAAAGCCAGCGTTTTACCATGCCTGCTGTATTTGCAAGTTGTCACGGGTGTACTTGTGATGTATTTGGTTTAACTCTCAATTCTTAAGTTGCTATTTAAAATATCAAGCATATCAACATTATCATATTTCCCAGTGACTAATACAATAATATGTAAATTTATGAGCCATATTTAACCGTACATATGGCTCAGGTTAACCATTCAGTGCTACATTTATTATCAATTGATTGTATCTATTATCAATTGATTATATCTGTAAAGCTGCTTTGCTAATTGGACAAAACAAACATTCAAACAAATCATTTTGTTTTTAATGTAGACAAAGAAGCATTTCATTAGTTTGCCAGCAGAGGGCTAAGCAGGCCTTGGTTTTAAATGTGGTCCATGTTCAATGTGCAGCTAACTCATCCTTCATAGACTCGTCATAAAATTATCACGTTACTTTTGATTAAAAGTGTATTAAGTTACTGCTAACGTTTTCTTTGTAAGTAATTACAATAAGGGCTCTTAAAATGCTGTTGAAGTCAAAGTAAGGAGACTGAACTAAAGACATAAATTTGAAACGTTTTGGACACCTAGATGGTGAACGTTTAAAATATTTGAGTTGTTTCTTCTCATATTAGAATACTCTGATAGTCACTGCAGCAGTTTAATTTCTTTAATTTCATTTCTTTATAGCAGACACATCCCTAAGATCCTCATTTGAGTTGCCTCCTTCAGGGCGAAGGTGCTGCCTTCCTTTAATCTAAAAAAACAGGACAACAATTTATTTCATACCACAAGTGATTAAATCATTAAAAAATAAAAAGTTATCTTAAATTACTGAGCTCAAACTTCTTTGCCGTTAAATGATGGATGTTGATGTCATGTTTGTGTTTGTGCGTCCTTTATGTAAATGCCTGCTGACGACGCTGCAAACCAGTTTGGTGGTGAAGCTCTCGGTCATGCAGGACGTGGAAAATTAAAAAAGTTCAAGACAAAAACAACTGGACCTTATTTGTAACAGAAGAATTGAATTGAGGAAGCTCCTCGGATGAGAAGCACAACGTCTTCTGCTACAAATAAAGTCCAGTTGTTTTTCTCTTGAAGTTTATTTTAATTAAGCAAACCAATTTCACTACGGGGACAAATCAATCCATCTATTCGTCTATTCGTCTGTCCGTCCGTCCATCTGTCTCTGTCTGTCTCTCTCTCTGTCTGTCTCTCTCTCTGTCTGTGTCTCTGTCTCTCTCTGTCTGTCTCTCTCTCTCTCTCTGTGTCTGTCTCTCTGTCTGTCTGTCTCTCTCTCTGTCTGTCTCTGTCTGTCTCTCTCTCTGTCTGTCTCTCTGTCTCTGTCTGTCTCTCTGTCTGTCTCTCTCTCTGTCTGTCTCTCTTTCTCTCTCTCTGTCTCTCTCTGTGTCTGTCCGTCCGTCCATCTGTCTCTCTCTGTCTGTGTCTCTCTCTCTGTCTGTCTCTCTGTCTCTCTCTCTCTCTCTCTCTCTCTCTCTCTCTCTGTCTCTCTCTGTGTCTGTCTCTGTCTGTCTCTCATTAGATTGCATGTTTAGTTAAATGAAAGGACAACACTCGTTTACTGAGTTTGCAGTTAAATTTGTGTCAGTCATTTTCAGACTTTGTTTCTTCCTCACAACAGATTTCTAAATTTAAGATTATTTAAAGGCCTATTATTCAACAGACAGAAACTAAGCAGCTGTAAAATGTTGTCAGAGTTATTTTTAATTGTTTATATATACAAATATATATAATCTGTAGCCCAAGAAAGATTGTTTGTAATTGACGTGATTTACTTTTAACTGCATATTTCCTTTCAGGCTTTTGATTCAGCTCAGCTTTAGATTCCTCCCATAAACTGTAAATTGACTGCAGCTGATTTTACAGGATTTCAAGTCATTTTTTACTCTTTATTAAATGGTACTTTTCACCATGTCATTCTTAATAAATGCATCCCGCAGTAAAATAAACAAAAACAAAACTAAAGACTTTCCAGCCTTTTTAAAGCCAGGACCAGATAAACACCAGCTCCATAATTATATTAAGTACATTTGTTGTCATAAATGTGAGTTATCAGAACTTTAGACATCTTTTTTTTTGGCTGTTTCCTCTTCAGCGTTGCCACAGTGAGCCATCTTCCTCTGTCCTCACTTCATCTACCTCCATGTCTTCTCTAACTGCCCGTCTCGTGGTCTTGGATCACTGTAGCACAATTTCCACCCGTGTCCCGTTTGTCAACAGCGCCGGTGGCGTCGTCTTGAGTCAGTAAATACACAGAGTAGAGAGCTCACTCACATCAGGACTCAACATTCAATTCAACCTTTATTTCTGCAGGTTAGTCTCAATGAGCCTCGAGGACTCGTTCACAAGAGAGACCTGATTTTATAGAGAACACAGATGAGCTACAGACAACAGTAGGCAATCATGTAAAATGAAAAGGAAATGGAAGAAATTATATATAAAAAAATGAAACAAACAGCTACGTTATAAAGTGATGTGCATTATAAACATAAAGACATGTACTTTGAAAGTGGGGTTTAACTGTACAGTACAGTTAAGTAAAGTACAGTAGTCCCTCGTTTATCACGGGGGATTCGTTCCCTGAAGCCTCGCGAGAAGTGAAAAACTGCAAACTAGGAATAGTATTACAAGTAGTAAGTAGTCTTGCAATATTCTAGACAATGTTTCTAAACGCTCTAAAAGAGACAGAATGTCATGATGTCAGCTCCTGCTTCCGCTGCTCTTTGCCACCTGCAAGCGCTCTTGGCCACGCCCACTTCTCCACTGAAGATCAGCTGATCAGCTGCAGCAGGAAGTTTATCCTGCATTATGGGCTGCACACAGGTGCAGCAGGTGCTAAATAATTTAAAATAATTTATTTTAAATAAAAATTCCATGCCGATCGTGCAGCTCATCTATCAACCAGCCAGTTGTGTGTCATGTCCAATCTTATTTTGAAAAACCGCTGTGGAGCAAGTCCACGATAAACGAACCACGAAGTATCGAGGGACTACTGTACTAATAAATCTTTAAGGAAAAACATTACAGTCTCCAGTGGCAGAATCATAGACGGTTTTCTTCCTGTTTTTGGTTGTGTCAGAATAAACTACAAACTTCTCGTAGTGGACAAGAACGACAATAATAGACAATCATAAGGATGCGTACAAATTTTATTTATATATACATACATACACACACACATATATATATATTATTTTTTTAAACAAGTGAAAATAAAATGGTAAATAAAAGGAAAAGTAACAAAAACAGCTAGGTTGTAAGGCGGTTAAAGAAAGAATTGCTATTTTTTGACAGCTAAACCTCATCACTTTGGTTGTGAGCATCACAAAATGAGTTGCTGGAGGGTTTTTTATGTATTATGGAAGGTTTCAAAACATTTTTATAAAGTGATTATTTTATCAATTAACTACTACTTTTTGCCTTGAAGTGTTTCTCTTGCTGTGTTTACTTTTATACTTCACATTTCGTGTTAATTTATTTGTGAATTCTGTTTTGATTCATTATTTGTGCTGTTTGGTTTGTCATAATCATGTCTGCTACACAACTTCTTCCCATCTTCATATCTTCTTGTGAGTGTTGCAGCTGGACGATGAGGCGATGCTGTCGCTTCTGTCTCGCAGTGATGCTCGTTCTTCTCTGCTCATAGAATTCCTGCTGGAGTTGAGAGAGGGTGGAGCATGACGGTGTGGGCCCCGGGGCCAGCACAGTGTTCTTTCTGCCTCCTCCCAGTCAGAAAATAAACTTTCATAGCTGGTTGATTTATAGGCGCTTGAAATTAGGAAGTCGTTTAAAATTCTCTTCAGCTCGACTGTAAAAATATACGGTGTCCTTTGTTGTTTAACTCCAGCTTTTCATTCTTTACGTAGACATTAGTGGTTTAGGTCTTGGTCACATGTTTGTAAAGATCGGTCTCATCAGGAACAAAACAAAAAAAGTACTTTAACTGTTTGTTTTCAGTATATTGTGAATTATTTCTGTGTTCTTGGGGTCGGTGCGCATCGGTGCCTGCTGGCAGATGACTTGGTTTTAAAGATCCGTTAGCTCTTTTTGTGCTCTCTCCGCGAGCTGACCTTTAATGTTCTACGTAGGCATAACTTGATTATGCAGTCACAAATAGGCAAATTCAACTCATGGACATTATTTTTCATTCTTACAGTCTTGATCAAAAACAAAATGTGTAGTGAATTCCAAATGAGGAGTCCAGCGTCCTACACGATAAAGTTGAGCCCCGGGTTAAAAGTTCACTCATCAGAAAGATCGTTACTCAAACCGAGATCTGCTGAAGGAAAGCAGAGACAGACAAGAGATTTCATGGGGCTTCAGAAGAGCTGTTGAAGGATAAAAAGCTGGAGAGGGCTGCAAAATATCCGTCAGACGTGTCCGTGGAGAATATCAGGAGTTTTCAGTTTGGAGTGTAAAAAATGCTGTTATCTACTGTAACAGCTGCACTTTATGACACGTTCAAACATGTTACGAGCAGCTTCACGAGGTACCGTCATGTCCAGATCAGTCTTTTACTTTTTATATTTTGACAAGAAATTTGAGAGAAAAATCTCAAGTTTTTGTTTGTGATCCTACAAAGATTGCTAAATGTAATCCATGCGCTAAAACATATAATTCTATATTAAATGTTAATGTCAAGAGACTTTTTAACTGCCAGGACTTTCAAAAGGTGGTTTTTCTTGTTCCTAAGATGTTTTGATAATATTGGATTTTAGTTTGTTTAAAAGTTATCATCTTTAATAAACTCATTATTTTCATTTGATTGATGAGCTCTTCTAAATTCACATTTGGTATCCAGGCAAACTCGATGCATTGTAATTAACTTAATATTTAACAACTAAGAAAAGCCTGTATTGTGTCCAACTTGGTGACCTTTTCAAATCTATTGTCCCTCCACATTTAGTTTGGATAACTTGTGTAATTTTGTGCTCTAGGCGCGGTGGTTCTGGGAGGCCTACTTCAGCTCCATGAAAGCCATTGGTTTGACAACTCTGCAGATCATCAATGACCGCATTTACCCATATGCTGCTCATACTTACGAGCAGTGGAATAATCCCTCTGTTGTGGTACGTACCTTTGTCCATCTATTGTTGTTGCATTGCGTTTGTAAGTTTCTTGACACTGCACTCGGCCGACTCGTGCACATCACAGCTACATGTTCTGAGCTGTTGTGTTCAAACAAGCGGAACCTTTTATTAGAAGTGTTTTTATGGCCGTCATGCAGACGCTCACACGGCCACAGAGGTTTTTCCATTCCTCCTGCGCCTCTTAAATCAAGACTTCTGTCGCACAGTGACAGTAGATGCTCTCTCTTTGTGAAGCGCCCTCCAGCTTTGTGCACGAGCAGAAAGCTCTGAAGCAGCCAGCCTGTGTCAGCAGTTCTGCTCGAGGCGGGTGCTTCTTCTGTGGTGAAAAATAAGTTCCTGTGTGTCTTAGTCATTGTGTTTGTAGGGAGTTTTCTGGATGTGGAGGATGGTTGGTGTGTGCTTGGCTTCGTTTTGGTTGTGCGAGTTTGTGGCTGCAGACATAGTGACTCTGCAACCATCTCTCCGGAGTTGTTTATCAGCTTGGTTTCATCTCGAGTCTCCTTCAAGCTGTCTGTGGGAGAGAAAAGTGTGCATGTCAGCATGTGTGTAGCTGCATAGCAATGCCTTTGAATCCATCAGTTGTTGACAAGGGCTGCAATAAATGTAGATCCACTAAGTGTTTGGATTTTAGAGGCTGCGGTCACTGTGTACATGTTTGACTGTGACTGATCTTTGGGATGTATTTAGTTTTCCTTGAATTCTGTCACTGACCATGGCAGACTCTTTCTCCAAGCAGGTAACTCCTTGTTCAGCAGGTACTCTTGACGTTGCCCTCCTAATCTGTCGGAGCATTTGAACCCAATCTGTTGGTCCAGATGACACGATCTGACCTGTTTGTTCCAGTCTGTTAGTGTTATAGTCACACGGAGCTTTGTCCAGACTCAGAAGAGGTGAAATGTGTTGAGGTGCATGCTCTTCCAGAGATGGGAGAGGAGAATGAATGGACATGGACAACACATTAAAAATCAGAGCTTGTGTTCCTCCTCAGGACTTCAGGGCGGTAACAGAAAGCCCACGTTGCCCTGGCCTTTAGGGCAACGTGGGCTTTCTGAACGAAGGACAAACAGCATTTTGTTTGAGATATGTTTTAAGTAAGAGGCACATGTGTATCATTTATACATGAATGAAAACATTTGAGGTTTTAAAATCATTTGATCGTAAATGTGTTGGAAATACACGTATGTAAAATCTAATCTAGCTGACCTTTTTACACAATCTCATGCTTGAGATGCCATTACATCTGTGTACACATAATAATACCTCATTCTATCAGTACTTTGTTTTAGTGTCTATTAAAGCTGTACGTTTTGGTTGTTAAAGTGTAATGTGTTTATGTGAACAGGACAAACTCATCCAGGCATTTTGAATATGAGACGCACTTATTCTTGTCTTGTTCTTAACCTCTGAGCTTTTGATGGTTTTTAAGATGAGAGAAGAACCACAGCAGCAGATCAAATAACCAAATAAAATTCCTTTCTGGAGACTTCTATATACTGAAAGAAGAAGAAGAACACGGGGCCTCCTTCAGATCTGTTGCAACAAGTCGAGCTGTGGCTTTTTTTTTCTAATTTATTCGGTTTGACAAATGACTTAAGTGCTCTGAGTGTGTTATACCCAGTTTTTATGAAAATGTGCTGTATATCTTACTTTAATTACTTCCCCCTTTTTGTGTGACAATGTGACAACAACCACAGGAAAGTTTCCAGTTGCCAGTAAAGTGAGTTTTTATTGGCGATGGAGTGACTGGTGTAGAGAGTGTCTGTGTTGACCGCCTGGTGCTGATGCTGTGGAAGAAGACGCACAATGGAAGAAAAGCCCAGTTCGGTTGTGCTTCAGGACGCACACGTTTCTGCCACACTTAAAAAGATTGTCACTGGAGGGAAACACGGCCTTTGAATGTTTCAAGAGTAGATCTGTACTTTTATTACAGAACTTCTACTAACCAGACAAAATCTGAGTTGTTGGTGGGACCTTAGGACGGTCAGTGGCTGCAGCTCATTCTGATGGGTCCAAGCAGGTGGTCCTCTTGTCCTGAGCTGGTTCTGTTAAAGGTTTCTTCCTGTTAAAAGGGAGTTTTTCTTTCCACTGTCGCCTTCATGCTTGTTCAACATGAGAGTTCAGTGATGGAGTTAAACTCAAAGCTGCTCCTCAGATAAATAATGTTCAATTATTATTTTATAGATGAATGTTTCTGTTCAGAGCCCTGACTTCTGTCGTGACTTGGAGCTTTATCAATAAATTGAATTGTTCACTTCTGTTTTTATCAGAACTCTTTTACATTGTCTTTTGTTTTGCAGTGTCATTTTATTTAAGCTGCAGTCGATGTGACTTCCAGGATTCTCAGACCATCTTTAAAGTGCAGCAGTGAAAGAAAAGCCGAGGTCCACACTAACTATAAATTCTGCTTCTTGTTACCCCCTACAAGCAGGAGGCCCACGGCTGTTTTCAGGCTCCCTGCTGGTCGCTCTGGTTTGTGCTGCAGGTTCTCAGAGGTTTACTTTGTGCTCCGATGAGATTTTCCAGTTCTGTTTTTGAAAGGATTAAGGGAAACGTTAACAGACAAGTGCTGCTAATTTATGCAAAAGTAACAGAAAATATCAGATGAATTCACGTTCCAGTCGAGCACGGTTCTAGTCCATTTAGTCATGAAAACAAGTCCAACACAAGTTTACACAAGTATGGTTCTGAATTACTTTTTCACATTAGTCAGAAAGACAACAACAAATGATTAAAGATGATTTTAGGCACAGTGCTGATGTTTCCCTTTGTTTTCTGTCTTGTGTAGAAATGGTCCAGTGTGAACAGCCCTCTGTTCTTGCCTCTTATCCCGCCTCGGGCTCCTGGGTTCACCGCAGTGGTACTGACCTACGATCGCGTTGAGAGTCTTTTCCGGGTCATCACAGAAATCTCCAAAGTGCCGAGCTTGGCTAAACTGTTGGTGGTTTGGAATAATCAGAACAAGAGTCCTCCTGAGGGTGAGTGCCCCATGTCAATCAAAATAATTGGTGGTGGGTTGAGATGTATTTACAACGACCTAAGATCAAGTTCGTCAGATCAAAGTAAAGTGGAAATCTCAACAAAAAGCATAAATCAAGTACCTTACAATAACTCCGACGTTTAAAGAACTGCTTGGGTTTGAAACTGATTTATGTTGCTCACTTTATTTTGTGTTCAGTTATAATGTTTATCTTGTATATAAAAAATCATCAGGCCATGCACCAAGTGTTCACTCTTTGTGCAACATAGGCGTAGTTTACTTGACAGCAGAACTGCTCAGGGGATCCAGCAGCTCAGGGGATCCAGCAGCTCAGGGGATCCAGCAGCTCAGGGGATCCAGCAGCTCAGGGGATCCAGCAGCTCAGGGGCCGGACATCCAGCAATTAAAGTCATTGTGCAAATAAACCAAGTATTAAAATCATATGTTGCCTTTTAAATTTGTTTGTTTTATTGCATTAAATCATAAATGCAATAAACAGAACCCC